ATATGACGTTCAATTCAAAATTTTTTATATTTTAGTAGTTATGCACGTCCCAAAAATGGACTTTGGTGGCTCGGGATAAGAGACTTGTAGCGTCTCAGAGTTTTTGAACATGGCCGGAGACGCTACCGCGTCTCCTGATACCGATTATGGGTGCTTACGATAATTCGAGTTGGGGTTAGTTTCACTAGGACCGAAAAATATGGTAGACGTTACCACCTAGTACTTTCATGATTCATGACAACTCAACGTTGTCTTGTATTGCCATTGAGTTGAGTTAAGGCCGGAATCAGACTACGCATTGAAGATTGAGACTGGAGATTAAAAGATTGAATTTTGGCTAATCAAAATAATAGGAGTTAAAATTTCTTTATCCTCATTGGTCAAATTTCAATTTTCAATCTTCAATCTCAATTTTCAATGCGTTTCTGATGTTTGGAAAAGAGGTTTAATTCGGGTCAAACATCAAAAGAAAGGTTAACGCTTTTTTACTTGCAAAGGCCTCCTCTAATTAACCTATTTAGTATTTACGCGAGCAAATTTGATTTATAGTGTAAAAATGTCTGCAAATAAATTTATAAACGAAACAAATAATAGTGTTGGTATGTGTGTATTATGCTTCTTTAATAAATAATTATATATGAGATTATTATTATCTTTTTAAGTAGTAAGTAATATTTCTAAATTTAGTTAATTGCAGAGTTCAATGGACTGATGCCATGACGAAACTATTATTAGCAGAAATGCAAAAACACGCAGAAACTTTTACGAATCCAGGAAAATTGAACATAAATACATGGAAAAATATTACAGCATCTATTAATACCTATGGATATAACTTAACTTCCGACAATTGTTATATTAAATGGATTGGTATGAAAAAAAAGTATAAATCAATTAAAGATGCAATAAACCAAACTGGTACAGAAAAACAATCTTGGGAATATTTTGATGTCATTAATGACATGTTGGGAAAAAATCCTGCAATTGTACCTCTTTCTATTGCATCAAATATACGCGGTTTTGAAATAAATCAAAATATTTCGCCTTCATCTGATGAGGAACATTACGAAAACGAACAAAATAAATTAAACATAGCATCAACTAATGTTTTAAAGAATAGACGAATAAGAAAAAGGAAATCAAAAACATCTGTCTGGATGGAAGAATTAATAGAGCAAAGAGAAAGGCATCATAGAGAAAATTATACCCAAAGAGAGCGACTTTTATCTTTATTAGCAAAGGATATCAAAACAAAGGAGAATGATAAAACAAGAAATAATATTTGAAAAGCAAGTATATGAAGTAAATCTTAATAAACAATGTTAACATAAGTATAAGAAGTATATATAAACGTTTTGTATACTGACAAAAAAATTTTTTGTTACATTAAGCAAAAAAGTAAAGCTTTATATTTAAAAGTGCAAAATATGTGATACTACTGGAGGGGGTTTTGGTATGTTATTCCATCGGGCGATGGATTTGCGCTTTCAATCTCTCCTCCAGGTTATATGACGCCATGTGATAGTACTATTAATTGTACGTTATGTTATATTATGGCACATTTGAAAGTGAATTTATTTTTTTTTTATTATAAAATATTACATATTATTGCATATAATAAATGTTTATTTATTACATAGATATAAAATAAATATGGGCCTATGTTATTGATTTTTATATTATTAACCTTACATTCCTTTTTCTTCCAAATTTTGCAAAAATACATTTATTCAGGTATACATTATAATTCTCTTAATACAAAAGTTTATAATTATTTTATGTTTAACAATTTTATTTCGCAATTTATTATTTTGTAATTTAAGATATCTAACTATACATTTATATATATATGAGTTTAAATATACATATTTATAATAAAGACATTACATTTTATAAAGGCAATTTTATAATAAATTAGAGATAATGTCTCTTTTTTCTGTTCCATTTGTAAATGCAATGTCATTATCTTGTATTTCTATTTCGTCAAATCTATCGTCATCTATAGGTGCATCTTCATTTTCTATGCATATATTATGTAAGATGCAACAAGTAATAATAACTAAAGGTATCATCTCCGTATTATACATATAAATATATTTTAATTTTCTAAATCTACCTTTTAACATCCCAAAAGCACGCTCGATGACTACACGTGTTCTTGAGAGTGTTGTATTAAACCTTCTTTGTACATTGTTCAAATGACCGTTATCTCGATATGGAGTTAACATATAATTTGATAATGGATATGCTGAATCTGCTAGAAGATGATACTGATTTTGAAAGTATCTATTTTCATCTTGTGCTATTAATGTTGCAATATCACTTAAACGCCATACTCTTGCATCGTGAACGCTCCCACACATTCCCGTGAAAACATCAATAAATTTTAATGTATAATCACAAATTCCTTGTAATAAAATTGAATGATACCCTTTACGATTAATATAATTATCAGGATTTTCTGTAGGTGCACTTATTGCTATATGGGAACCATCAACTGCACCAATTACTCCAGGAAAACCATGTAGTTGACGAAATTCTCTTTCAACGATAGCCATTTCACGTGGTTCAGGCCATTTTATATATCTGTAGGCATCTTCAGTTAGTAGTGTTGCAATCTCAAATACACACTTCCAAACTGTATCTTTGGATACTCCAAATCGATCTGCAATTGATCTGTAAAAAATTACATATATGTATGTATATGTATACGTATGTATGTGCATGATGTATAAATATACACAAATACAAATTGTATAATCAAGGAAATTAAATAATTTTAGTATATTGCTAAATAGTATACTGCTAATGCAATATAATATTACATATGAATTTATTAAAAATATATAACAATAATACCTCAAAATATTTTTATCGAATATGTATATAAATATAGGGAACAAAATTGTACATAATTCTGTTTAAAAAATCAAAGCTGAGTTTTTAATAACTTCAGTAAAGAAAAAATTTTACAACAGTTGTAAAACTTTTTATTAATCTTAGTCAATGTAACCTAGATAATACAAAATTCATTCAATTATTTCTTTCCAAAAACTATATATTTCTTGTAACAATTTTGAAAATATATAAAAAGTCAAGAAAATCTCAAAGATAAGTAAAATAAAAATTAAAGGAAGCAAAACTATTTTATATAACTAAATATACTTTAATAGAAATCTTTCATATCCAGAAGTAAAACATATTAACCTGTAAACTTCCTGATTACCAAAGAACCATAAAGCAATGGCTATTTGTTTTCCTGGAGGCATTTTTTCAGGACCGTGCTCGCGATGTAGACGTTGTTCAAGAGTCTGTACTAACATTTCGTACGTATGTTTTTCCACTCGAAAATGTGATTTAAAATCTGCTCAAACAAAATATTAATGTTATTTGACTGCAATTAACAAATACAGAACTACCTGTGCAAAATTAAAGTAATACAGCAAAACTCTTCATCCTTGTTTTCAAACAGCTTGTTTTCTTACCGGTTAAAGTATATGCCAAAACAATATTTTCAAAATAATGTGGATTTTTAATGTGACGTTCTCTTTCAGGTGGAAAGTGCTCATATTCTTCGCCTGATGGATTATCGAAAAATACTTGTAAAATATTACCTCGTAAATCCATTTTTTATCTAAAAATATTTAATCACAGTTGAATAATTTAGAATAATTTAGAATAAATTAAAATAATTTAAGTAAAATTGTTTTAATTAGGTGGCAATACTGTTCGTAAATAGATTAAATTATTATAAAATTTATTTAATTTATATATGATTATAACTTTAAGGGTCTGCGCACAATAGGAGAAATATTAGGAACAGATATTAAATATGAGAATTTTAACCTATCAGAACTGTGTACTGTGGAATGTGCGCTTTCTGACAGGTTAAAATTCTTATATTTAATATCTGTTCCTAATATTTCTCCTATTGTGCGTAGACCCTAAGTATATTTAATATCTAGTATAAATTTTACAAAATTATCTTTTTTATTGCTACCAACTAATTACAGCTAACACAACTCAACTCATTGGCAAATAGATGCTAACTCAACTCAATGGCAATGCAAGACAGCGTTGAGTTGTCATGAATCATGAAAGTACTAGGTGGTAACGTCTACCATATTTTTCGATCCTAGTGAAACTAACCCCAACTCGAATTATCGTAAGCACCCTATGCAATGTTACGTATGATTAAGTGACAAAAATTCTCACGACGGCGTATTTTATCGCTCGACCTTACAATTAGTCATAACATTCAACGCGACCTTTTGACCTGAGATTACGATCGCATAGCACTCGCGCGTCGAGACACTGTCTCCGGCGCGCGACGTCGAATAAATTGATTGATGTATTCGTATAAAAATGATAAAACAATATTAAATATTCTGAAAATAAAATAAATTATTTCAAGGGCGATATGAATCGAAGGTATTCGTTTAAACAATAAAACATTTAATTAGTCACTACTTAATTTAGACATTATAATTAACATTTATAAATAACGGTTTTTATTATCGTTTCTGAGATGATATACATAAGACTTTTCAATCGAGTGTAAATATAATATCAATTTTCTAGGAAGACTCGCAGGAGTAAATGAAGACTATACGAATGATCTTTTCGACGATTGATTTTGTTCCACCATTTTTTAACGTCTGATGAGGAGGGCTCAATCCGAGAGCCAAAACGTGTAACACATTTATATTTATTATCTACTTTCTTTATTTTGTTTTTATTATCTTGTTTTAAAGACGAATTATTGTTAAGCGATGTCTAAATTAAGTAGTGACTAAATAAAGGAATAAGATAAATTATGTAAAATAAACTAAGTATATGCCTTTGTATTCTTATTAAAAGATCTTCCTATTCGAAACCAAGTGACTTAAATTCTTCTTTAAAAAAATTATATCACAATTAATTTAAAAAGAAAATGAAAAAAATATATTTAAATAGAAAAATTTTTTATGTAAAAACACTTCGCGCTGCTAGAGCGAATAAGAAAAACAATGAAAACTATCTAAAAGCTATAATAATTAATACAAATATATATAATGGTAATTATAATTTAAAAATTATAGTAAACATATTCTAAATGCTACATTTAATTAATAAATATACAGCTTACTTTTCTTTTTTTATGTATTTCACTAGCATATACTGTACTCGAATATACATACAGACTGCATACTTTAACTCTCGTAGTTTCTAATCTCTTTTATACAAAATGTTACATCCATATATAATTTTATACATTTGTTATTGTATTTTATTACATCGAGATCGAGAACTAGCAGCGCGAAGTGTTTTTACATAAAAAATTTTTCTATTTAAATATATTTTTTTCATTTTCTTTTTAAATTAATTGTGATATAATTTTTTTAAAGAAGAATTTAAGTCACTTGGTTTCGAATAGGAAGATCTTTTAATAAGAATACAAAGGCATATACTTAGGTTTCATTGTATGAAGATAAAGATAGAACCACATGGGTTTTACTTTTTAATTTAGTAGAATTTAAATAATAGTACTATATGGGTTCACTTAAAGATTAAAGGTACCACTTGTGTTTTACTTTTTAATTTGGTAGAATTTAACTTGGCGCCGACTGTTGATATCAAATCTTGTATACAAATGATAAATGTCATTAAAATTAAGTAAGTAATAAGGTAGAGTAACTTGGCGCCGACTATTGATATCAAATCTTTTATACAAATGATACATGTCATTGATTTAATTAAATAATAAGGATAATACCACGTTGGTTTTTAAAGATTAGAATTTAACTTGGCGCCTACTATTGATATCAAATCTTTTATACAAATGATACATGTCATTAGAATTAAGTAAATAAGGATAATATCACGTAGGTTTTTAAAGATGGTTCTACTAAACAGCAAATGTGATTGGTCAGTTTCACAGTCGATTAAGTAATTGACGTTGGTGAAACTGGCCCAAATGGTTTTCTGATCAGCAGCACCCACTCTTAGCGCTTTTTTCTACCTTTTTTTTAAAAAGGTAAGTTTATATATACATACAAATGATACATGTCATTAGAATTAAATGAGTGTAAGAATGGTACCTCTTAGATCTTTAGAGATAGAATTTTTAAAGATTAGTTAATTAAACGATATATTTTATGGGAAAAATCCATATCATATGATCTTTTATACAAATGATAAATGTCATTAAAATTAATTAAGTAATAAGGTAGAATTTAACTTGGCGCCGACTATTGATATCAAAACTTTTATACAAATGGTACATGTCATTAAATTTAAGTAAATAAGGATATCACGTAGGTTTTTAAAAAAGATGGTTCTACTAAACAGCAAATGTGATTAGTCAGTTTTACAGTCGATTAAGTAATTGGCGTTGGTGAAACTGGCCGAAATGTTTTTTGACCAGCAGCACCCACTCTTAGCGCTTTTTTTACCTTTTTTTTTTAAAAAAAAAAGTAAGTTTATAAAGATAGTATCAAATGGGTTTTACTTTTTAATTTAGTAGAATTTAAATAATAGTATGGTTTTTTACATGGGTTTTTAAAGATAGAATTTAACTTGGTATAAACAACTCAAAACCGGAAGTTCAAACAAAAATTAGAATAAAGATAGTATTTCATGTTTAACATACACTTCAAAATATTGGATCAAATATAGTGTTCTAGGTGAGAGATCAAACTATAACGGTTTTTTATATTTTAAAAACCCATAAGATATCAATATTAATTTTAAAATTCTTATACCAAACTATTTTAACGTAATACATTTTATTATTGAAAGATTATGAAATGGAAATGAATATATACAAGTACATGTTCGAGTTAGTATTACATACCTATAATCAAATACGATGTTAATAAATTTTTTTGGTATAATGTTATTACGAAATTGATTATCAGAACAATCCTTTCTTACAGTATTAATTATTAATTGGAATAATAATTTGTAAACGTATACTTATGAAGATATACGTGATTGAAAACTGGTTAACTTACAGTCCAAAACCTTGAACTAGGTCAGAGGTCAAACTATAACAGTTTTTTATATTTTAAAAATAAATCACAAAAGATCAGTATTAATTTTAAAAGAATTCTTATGCCAAATTGTCTACTTTAACGTAATACATTTTATTATTGAAAGATAATGAAATACCATGAAAAATGACTCATATATTATTGAAGGTGCCAGTTTAAAGTAACATACACCAACAGTTCCCAACTTTACGTCTGACTTGAATACCTCATTATGTATGCCAAGGTTTTTTACCATTTCATTATCTTCCAATAATAAAATGTATTACGTTAAAATAGACAATATGGTAAGACAATTTAATAAGATTTCTTTTATGAAATTAATACTGATCTTTTCTGATTCATTTTTGAGATATAAAGAACTGTTATTTTGATCTCTCACCTAGAGTACTATATTTGATTCAAGATTTTGGAGTACATAAGAATTCTTTTGAAATTAATACTGATCTTTTGTGATTCATTTTTGAAATATAAAAAACTGTTATTCTGTTCTCTCACCTAGAACACTATATTTGATTCAAGATTTTGGAGCTCTCATGTGTATGAGTTAACCAGTTTTCAATCACGTGTATCTTCATAAGTATACGTTTACAAACTATTATTATAATTAATAATTAATATTGTGACTAACGATTGTGGTATTAATCAATTTTGTAATGACATTATACCAAAACACTTATTACGTTATACTAGAATCCTTTTAAGATCGTGCAATTGATAAACAATAATAAACAAGAAGAAGAAGCCAATAACGGTCGAAGCTGGATCACAGTGTTTATTATAATTGTGTGAATTTTACATACTGCGTATGTAATCCCTCCAAAATTCGCGACGCTGATAGTTTTTCAGCACTGACGCATACATACTTACTGCCGCAGTAATGTCACATTATAGTTAAATTGACAAGCAATTTAACAATTTTGATGCTTATAGCATCTTATGGATCTTAATAATATGTTGAAAGACATATATTAAAATTTAACGATGTGATGTTAAAGTAATAATGATAAATTAAAATAGGTGAAAAATAAGATAGCGAAGAATATCACTTATTACGTTTGTTAACGTATTTGATTATATATATGTAATAGATTTTGACATTGGAATTAATACATATTCACTTCTATTGCATATATTAACTTTCAATAATAAAATGTATTATATTAAAATATTTTAGAGAACATCAATGTAAACATACTAGAAAAGCACCATTCGGATACCATCACCAAGAAAGAGAAATCATAATAAAGTTGTTAATACTGAACATTAGAAAGAAACATACAATAACGAAC